GATATATATATATATATATATATATATATATATAACATTCTTGAAAGATAAACTCATTATTATCAAAATACTAAGAAGCTTTCTGAAGTAAAATCTTACACACCTACTTCTTGGGACAAACTCTCAATTCGAAAATGTTACAATTTTGACATTACCTAATTTTTCCGCTCCAACTTTATTCCTATATTTCCTCTCGGAACTGATCGGGCGTTCAAGACTCATTTTTTTCTCCGCCACGCGGGATTTGGTGGTTGTGGGTGGAGCTGACGAGGACAGTATGGGCCCTTCAGGCGCATACTTTCTTGGCCGACCTCTTTTCTTCTTAGCCTGGCCTTCGTGTATCACAACTGCAGCCGAGGGAAGAGTTCCCGGGCCAAGATTATCAGCCCGTGGGCCGAAATTGTAGCTGGATGAAGAAGCTCCAGGAGCAACTAATGTTACTTCAGAAGCCATTGCTTTTTTGGCAGCATCCATTCAGATGAAAACTTATTTTTGAAATTGTTGACCAATGCAAGATAACTGGTATTCCTACAAATGAACAAGATAGTAAAGAAATACAAGGTCAAGGAAAAGAAAATGCCGGTGTAACATGGATCGAGAGAAGGGAAACATAGTGAAATTAAAGCATTAGAGCTAAGTGGTTTTTATTTATTTTTATCCGGGTTTCACCCCTTTTTTCTTTTATCTAGTTTATTTGAAAATGAAGCTATGAAAGGTTGTAACTTGAAAGGAAGACAGAGTAAAATACAGATTACACATGAATCAAACATAACAAACACACAACATAAATATAAACACAAATTCTCGTGTGAGCCGGCTGATCCTAAGGCGGGTCGACCGTCATACCTTTTTATTTTCTTTTTTNTATTAGGCCTGACTAACAATACCATTACCAAAATAAAAATTAGGGTAAATTAACAGTAAATGCTAGTAATCTAGCAAGAGGAAATACCATTTTCATCACTGTTCAGAGTTCAAACACTCTACACCAAAGTAAAAATCCAATCGTTCCCCCAATCACAACCACAAACACCATTCTAAGAAAGCAAAGAATTTCTCCAACATTAACAAATCAAGCCATGCAAAAAAATTCACTAATAAAAATCAATCAAACACAAAAATGATGAATGAAGACACAAAAGGTGACAAAATTGACATAACAATTTTTTTTTATTCAACCCATTTTGCTCCTAAACAGCAGTAAAAGATTACATAAAGAAAAAAAAAGGAAGAAATTAACATACGCAAGCAAAAACCCAACCTGAACGTAGCTGCAACTGAAGAAAAAAATTTACAGGAACCAAGAAAATGAAGAGTAAAAAACCTTGCTTTATTTCTTCTTCATCACCCCTTTATTTTTTGTTCCTTTTGCAACTTAGTCAAACTCGAGGGGCCTCAATTTAATTCAATTGAGAAAAGAATTTGAAATCCGGGTTTCACTTTCAAGAACTGGAAACTTGAAAAGGTTTAGCTAGAGCAGGTAAATTTGGTGAAAAACAGAGGTGTAATTTGGTGTATGGAATTCCTTTAATCGGAAAAAGGTGAAATTTTTACTCTCTTTTTTTGTTTTCGAAATTGAAAATAATATTTGGCCATTTCAAGTAAAAAAGAAATAATTCAGTGGGGACCAAAAGCGCTATGAGCAGATCTTTCGGTCAACCTCTTTTCTTTGTTGCTGACTCACCTGCCCTTTTGTCCTTTTTTGCAGAATGTGGTGCACATATGCCCAGCAAGTTGGTGTAAATTACTAACTGTGCCACTTATAAATGATGAATCTTGTATAGTTGTACTTTGTCGTGTCGAGCCGAGTCAAGCCGAACACGAATTTCTTACGAGTCGAGTCAAGTAGCCGAACACGAATTTCTTACACTCAAACTCCGGCTCCAAGCTTTATTATGAGAAGCTCATATGTCATAAAAGTTGGTGTAGACAAACCTTGTCACTGTTGCTTCACATATGTAGAGTGGAATTGAGATCAAACTTAGTATATATTCCAGCTCTAGACTCTATCGAATTGAGCTCAATGAGCCAATAAGTGTGTTAATTATAATTTTTTTTAATTCATACTCAATTAATATTCAAAAATATTCAATTTTAACTCAACTTCACTATTCTCTATACTAGTACAGTCCCGTGCGATGCACGGGGATTTATTATCTTCGTCCCTTTTATAAAGCAATGTTCAGTTAAAATTCAAAGTACTTACTAAAGGAAAGATCATGCCATTAATAATAAATAAATTAATAAATACAATGATATTAAAATCTATATATTATTGAACACTTCCTTATATACAACGTTCATGGTTTGATTCTTTGGCACATCATCGTCAACGCAAATTAGGACTTTCAAACTCATTTCTGTTTGTGACACGGGAAACAGCAACATACAATTGACCATGACTAAACACTGGTTTCTTAAGAAAGAAGCCCACATGCGATAATGATTGTTCCTGACTCTTGTTTATAGTCATGTTGTAAGAAAACATAATGGGAAACAATTAATCCAATAACATCTACAAAAATATAAGAAAATGCATCATATTGAAATGTATAACATATAAAATAGTTTATTACAGATTTAAATTAAAAAAATCGAAATAAGAAATAAACAAAAAAATTATAACGTACCAAACAACATGACTTCATCAATGTTACGAACATCCATTAAAGTTAGAAATAGAGAAATCACCCCTCCATTTGATAAATCACCTCTCCATTTGATAAATCATCCCTCCATTTGATAATCTTGGTTTGACCATTGATAATGATCCTCCTTTTACCTATCGTCGATTTATGGATGCCAGTATTGCTATTCACTTGATAGTTTGTCAAGATATAAGCGCCACCTTCTTCGATATCACCGATGATTTTTTGGATATTGACAGGTCGAATTATGCCAGTAATTCATCCTCCCTAAAACATTGCATAATGAATACTTCAATAA